CTGAGGTCACACAGCAAGTGGATGGCAGAGCTGAGATTCCCTAGGCCGGCTGTGTGAAGAGGCATAACTGGAGAGGACAGGAAAGCACAAAAGTTCCCGACTTGCAGATCTTAGTCCTTCCCACACCAAAATATCAAGAAGGGCCAGAAACTCCATTTCCTTCCTTGTCACCTCTTACCTGCAGCCGCTAATCCCCCAGCCCATTCTGAAGGAAGCTTGGGATCAGGTTGGGACTCGGAGCTTGCCACGAGCACCTGGGAAGCCCTGGCTTACACTGGAGCACAGGCCGGGCTCCTGGGATGTTCTGGGTGGGATCAGGAGGCAGCGGGTCAGCCCCTACAGCTCGCTGGCCCCTCCCCAGGGTCATGGCGTCTCATCACAGATTTTGTGTCTGCAGATAAGGAGAAGGGGAAGGAGAAGCTGGAAGAGGACGAGGCCGCAGCAGCTAGCACCATGGCTGTCTCCGCCTCCCTCATGCCACCCATCTGGGACAAGACCATCCCGTACGACGGCGAGTCTTTCCACCTGGAGTACATGGACCTGGACGAGTTCCTGCTGGAGAACGGCATCCCAGCCAGCCCCACCCACCTGGTCCAGAACCTGCTGCTGCCTGTGGCCGAGCTGGAGGGGAAGGAGTCAGCCGGCTCCTCCACCGCCTTCTCACCCTCCTCCTCCACCGCCGTCTTTCAGCCCTCCGAAACCGTGTCCAGCACAGGTTGGTGACAGGCCCTTGGGCAGGGCCACCTGCAGTACCCATCCAAGGGAGTCAGTCCAGCCCCACGGAGGCCTGCTTGTGTCCACACCCCCAGTGGGCCCTTTTCTTTGGAGGGAAGTCCTGGTAGACCTGCTGTGTGGAAAACCCTCTGCTCCCCACTCTTCAGCAGACCCCCAAGGCTGGAGATACACACAGGAGTTGCAGCAGCGCTTGGTGTGCTGCAGATGGTCAGGGCGTGGGTGGGGGCCTGGCCCATCTGCGCTGCCTCAGTGCTGCTCTTGGCCCCTCTGTGCGCAGCTGCAGGTGATCAGGGCCCTCCGGCCAGAACGGTAATGTCGCTCCTTGTTCTTATCTTTATCGTAGCTAACACTTACTTAGCGCTTCCTTTGTGTTGTGCACTAATGTGTAATCCCTGCAAGAACCTTATGGGATCAGTACTGTTAGTGCCCTTTTATAGGTGAGGAAGTGGAGGCACAGAGAAGTTAAGTAACTTGCCCAAGGTCACACAGCAGTAGGTTTTGGAGGCAGCACTTGAACCCAGGATGTCTGTCTTCACAGCTAGCTATACCACGTAGGCACTGACATGAAGAAGACCTTCCTGCTGTCTGGCCAGGGTGGCAGTCTCTTCAGGGTCCGTCCTTCATCTGCTGTCTTTTTTCTGTGTTACCTCAGTCAGTTTCTTGTTCATTTGTTTGCTGTTTGTTTTCACACCACTTGGACATGAGTCTATAAGAGGTGGCCCGTGGCCCCTGTTGCAGGGGCTCTGCAGTCTTCTACAAGCTCAGTTGAGCTATACAGACTGATGGCTCCTGGGAACGTACCCCAGGAGCTGATGTAGAACCCAGGGAGCCCACTTCTAGGGACTTCTCATGAGCTGTTGTTTTTAACTCTTCATTAATAGAGAAATTTTTAGGTAAATAAAAAGTAAGCGGCTCGACAGTGACCACCATGATGCACCACCAGGTAGCTTCAGTGATACTTACCTTGGAGCCAGCCTTGCTGTCTGTGTGGCCTCCCATTCTCACACCTGATTATTTTCAGTCAAATCTTAGACATTATACTATTTCATCCATAAATATTTCAATATCTGTCTAAAATACAAAGGTTCTTCTCAAAAACATAACAAAAACACCACCTTTACATCTGAAATCAACAATAAGCTCATTATCCTTTGAGTTTATCTCGTAAATGATGTTGTTTTACGGTTAGTTTGAGTTGGTGTTCAGACAAGGCCCACACGTTGCACTGGGTTGATAACGTGTCTAATCTCGTGTGATTACAGGCTCCCCTCTTCTCTTCTCTCGTCCTCGTTGTGGAGGAAACTCAGTCCTCTGTCCTGTCAGGTGCCCCGCAGGCTGGATCTTGCTGACTGTCCCACGGTGCCGTTTGGCATGTGCCTCTGCCCCTGTTTCTTCCTGCAAACCAGCAGCTGGGCTGGAGGCTTCAGCAAATAGAATTCCTGTCTGAAGGCAGCTCATTTCTATACCAGCCCGGTCGTCCTAGAAGGCTGGTTCCACAGAATGGAGCCCCAGCTCGTCACGTGGACCACCTAGGTGGCGTTGTCTTTTATTCATTTATTTATTTTTAAGTAAATCTTCTTAAGTTTCACACAGCTCCAAGAATCTTCAGAGTCAACCCACCAGTGTAACCACCCCCCACCACCCACTGCTATCAAGGAGATTCCAACTTATGGCAACCCTATAGGGCAGAGTAAAACTGGCCCAGGGGGTTTCTGAGACTGTAAATCTTTACGGAAGCAGACTGCCACATCTTCCTCCCGCAGAGCAGCTGGTGGATTCGAATTGCCATCTTTTTGGTTTGTAGCTGAGCACTTTAACTACTACACCACCAGGGCGCCATCCAGTTGAGAAAATAGTGCACTATTGATAGTTCCCAGAAGTTCCTTCCAATCCCACTCTGTCACTACTCCCCAAGGGTAACAATCACTCTTCTGATTTTTGATACCAAAGATTAGTTTTGCATGTGGTTAAACTTTCTGTAACTGGAATCATCTATTTTGTCCTCTTTTTTACTTGTAATTCTTATAAGTGAAAGAAAGACTTTTATGCTGTTACCTATACATGCAGCTTTTGACAGCTAACCTTATAGTATTGTTGCTATGAGTTGCCATTGGCTCGATTTCGACTCACAGCAGCCCCGTGTCACAGAGTAGAACTGTCCCCATAGCTTTTCTGGAGTCTTAACAGGAGCAGACTGCCAGGCCTTTCTCCCGTGGAGCTGCTGGCTGGGTTCCAATGCCGGCCTTTGGGTCAGCAGCCAAGCGCTTAGCTGTTCTACCAGTCTCCTAGCTCTAGGAGACACAGCGTAAATCAGTCTCTTCACACTAACAAACAGATTCATGGAACATACTCGTGGACTCTTGACACAGAGAAAAATCCACAACCCAAATGAAGTAAGATTCATCCTGAAGAGCTGTACGCATGCGAGAAATGAGAGTAGAATGCTGCTGCTGCTTTTTCTCAATTCCTGCTGAAGAAACGACATGAGGAGTACGCGTTCCTTTGTGTCTGGCCTCTGTCACTCAACTTTGTTTCTACAAATCACCTGCGTTGTCGCATGTAGCAGTGACTGGTTCTTCTTCATTGCTGAGTAGTATTCTGTTGTTTGAATCGACCACAGTTTATCCACTCGGCAGCCAGTGGACCTGCAAAGTGTTTCTTGGTTTGGGTTTTTATAAACAGTGCTGTCACGGACATCTGGGTGCATGTGTTTTGGTGAATATACGTTTACTTAGTAGTAGAATAGGAGCTCTGGTAGCATAGTGCTTAAGTCATTTGACTGCTAACCAGAAGGCTGGCGGTTCAAACCCACCAGCCACTCCTCAGAAGGAAGGTTGGGCAATCTATTTCTGTAGTGATACTGTCTCAGAAACCCAAGGAGGGGTTGCTATGAGTCGGATACGACTCGATGGCAGTGGGTGGGTTTGGGTAGTAGAATGGCTGGGTCGTCAGATACAGACATACTCAGCTTTTGTAGCTCCTGCCGAGTAGGGTACAAAGTAGTTGTATCAGTTTGTACACTGCCAGCAGGGCGTGGGAGTCCTCATTGTCAGCCTCTGATTCTCATGTGACATCCTTTTATTTTTTTTAATTTTTATTGTGAGTTGGGTGAAACTTTACAGATAAAATTCATCTTCTATACAGCAGCTCACATACACTGTCTCATGACATTGACTGCAATTTCCCACAATGCAACAGCTCCCCTCCCACTTCCTCCCGATAGTTACCTCTTCCCTGTGTCCTTCCCTCCCAAGCACTCCTGCCCCCTGAGCTGTCTCCCTGTGCATACACAGCCCTTCTTTCTCACATGATTGTTCTCTCCAAGGAGTGTATCTACCTAATGTAAATGTTCAGCTCATGCCTGTCTTTTGTTTAACTGGAAGGCAGAGGAGTAGGTTCAATTCCAGACCTGAAAGGCAGCTAAGGGGCCATAGTGTCAGTGGTTCCACCAGGCTCTAGCAGACCAGTAAACTTTGTACACCCCCCTTTTGTTTTGTTTAATGATTTAGAGTTTTATTCCACATTGTTCTCCCTCTCTCTCCAGGATCTATGTAGATCCCTGTCCCAAGCGGTTGACAGTGGTAACCAGACACCATGTAATTCTTCTTGTCTCATAGTTGTATAGGCTGAGGATTGCATGGTGTACCAGTTGCCTGGACTAATTGTTTCTATGCATCTTTGGTTTTCTTCATTCTTCTTTGCTGTGGATGAGGAGACACCCATCGTTGCATCTAGATGGCAGCTTACAAGCTTTTAAGATCCCAGTCCTTCCTGCCCAACACCTTCCTCCCCCAGCATAGGCATTTGAAGGTCATGGAGTCCACTGCTGGGACTTGTCCGCAAAACTGTCCGCTGACTCCTTAAGTCCTTGCCCCCAAGCTTCTTTTTTTATACGCTGCTTGTAAATTGTCCCCTTTTGTTCCTGGGCCCTCTCTCCCATCCTGTCCCTGAAACTGAGCCCCATCTTGGCATTTGATTGGCTGCATTTTGAACAGTGTTTCCCTGGGGTGGGTCCCTGGCTGTTCTGCAGATGTACAGTTTGGCAGGCCTAGATGTCTCTGTAGTCACCACATAGGTCCCTGGTCATTCACTCCTCTGACACTCAGACCTCTTTGTAATTAACCCCCGCCAGTAGGGTGCAGTAAGTTTCTGTGCAGGATCCCATTAGAACCCAAGGCTGAGCATGCAATGCCTCTTCCCAGAATACCCCCATGGCTTCCTGTCTTAGGTCAGTCAGCGGCACCAGTTGACAGTTTGGACTGGGTAATTTTTTGTTGGAGTGGAGGGAGGGACTTACTGTGCATTGTAGGATATTTGAAGGATCCTTGGCCTCTACCTACCAGATGCCAATAGCATCCCTCCAGTCCCAACATGGCCAAATGTCTCCTGCGGGGCAACAAGCCCTCCCATGGATAATGACTGCTTTATTGGGATTAAAGGCCCTGTATGGTCATTCATCCACCCCAGCCACAATGGCCTCCTTGCTCCTCCTTGGACATACCAGGTGAACCACCTACCACAGGGCCTTTGCACTTGATGTCCATTCTTTCTGAAATGTTTATCCCACAAATACCCACATGGCATCTAATGTTTTGTGTATGTATTTTTCATTTATCTTGTTTAATGTCATCCTTTCCCCACTCCAACAGCATTTCATGAAGGCAGGGATATTCACCTGACCAGTGCTGTAGCTTTGCCAGGATGGTACCTGGCACACAGTAGGTGTTCGATAAATATCTGTTGACAGAAGCATTCTTTTGTGCCCTCTTTTCTGTAGCATTGACTGGGTAGGCCAAAGGTGTAGGGCTTTTTAGTAGCTCTTATCTCTGATCACACACGACCTTTGACTTCTGGGCATGGCTTTAAGCCAATGACTATATAAAGCAGCAGCCGGGTGGGGCAGGGAGGAGCAGGGATCTTCAGTCAGCCACACCAGGACTCATGTAGCAGCCCTGTGACCACACCGGTCAGGGTCAGCACCTGACCCCTTTCAGAGCTGTCACAGAGACTCACTGAGCATGCCCAGCGTGCCTCAGGTACTGAGAACTATGTCCATTGTTCCATCTGTGCCCAGAACCCATTCTGGTTCACCGACACTCAGCCGGTGCTCATTCCTTGAGAACTTGAAACCGCAGGAAGTTAAGGAGGTACAATGATTGCACGTTTTGCTTAACATTTATGGGGGGAAAGCAGTCGGAAAATCCTGTCTTTCAAGGCCCCCCACCCCCAGCCCTGGTTCCTTTTGAGCATTCTGTCCCCAGCGGGAAGCAGGCTTTCCCTGTTTTTGGTGGGGAATTGGGTCACGGGGCTGGTCTGGCTCGGGGGCTGGTGCTTTGTCGGCTGTCTCTCCTCCGGGGGCAGTGGTGTGTGCACCTGGAGATCTGGCAGGTGTGCGGGTGTGTGAAGGGGGTCTTCTCCAGCCAGCGGGCTGCTTCTGGACTGCTTTCTGTGTCTCTCAGAATCCTCCCTGGAGAAGGAGAGGGAGACGCCCAGTCCCATCGACCCCAACTGTGTGGAGGTGGATGTGAACTTCAACCCTGACCCTGCCGACCTGGTCCTCTCCAGCGTCCCGGGTGGAGAGCTCTTCAACCCGCGGAAGCACCGGTTTGCAGAGGAGGACCTGAAGCCCCAACCCATGATCAAAAAGGCCAAGAAGGTGTTTGTCCCCGATGAGCAGAAGGTAACTTGGTCTCCTCCGTCCTAAGTAAACATTCCAAGTGTGCAAGAGCCTGGGCTCTTCCTGCCCTACATTTGGTCTGGTCTGGAGGAGCCTGCCTCCGGTGGACACCACCTGCACACCACTGGTTGTGTGCTTGGAGCACATCCTGCAAAGGTCTGGGACAACTAAGGGGAGTGGGTGGCGTCTGGCCCCTACGTGACTCCCTGTAGTCTCTCTTTCCTCTCCCCAGAACCATCGGCCTTGTCCGTGCACCTGCCTGTCCTGGCTTTAGCTCAGACATCAGGTAGAGCTCCTTAGGCCGTAGAAACTGGGGTAGAACAAGTCCTTGCTTTGAAGGACAGACAAAAGCGTGTATGGCCATCCCCAGGGAAGAGTGCAAGCTGATGGGGGCGTAAGAACTGGCGGGGGAGTGGTGAGGAGGCTTTCATAGCTTTCCCATCCTCTCCTATTTAAAAAAAAAAAAAAAAAAACGCCTAGGAAGGACTTTTTGTCCAAGCTTTGGCATCAGCCAGACCTGGGTTCAAACCCCACTTGGCCACCTACAACCTCGCTGAGTCTCAGGGTCCTGTCTGTAGGATGAGAATAACTGTGCCCACCTCTCTGGATTTTTTTGAGGCTTCAGCAGTGGTGACAGTGACAGCAAATGTTTCCCCGGTACCTGTTATAGCCCAGGCTCTGTTAGCAGCATTTTTATGACCAATTCATCTGATTGTCAGACATTCTCACGAGGTGGTCGCTGTTGCTGTCATCATCCCCGTTGTACTGATACGGGACCTGAGACGGTGAAGGTCCCGTTGCTAGTAAGTGGCCAAGCTAAAATGTGAACTCGGGACTGAATCCTTAACCACTGCCAAGACACTCCCGTGAGGCAGAGTATAGACAGCACGGTCTGCTGGGTAGCAGTAAACGGTCTCTTTCCCGCCACCATGTATCCTTCCAAAGGGCTTTGTTTCTCATCCTACCTCCCTGAGGAAAGGGTGGCATCCCTCCATGTACCTCAGTGCACACCAGTTCTTTCCCCAGGGTCCCACTTCTAGTTCTGGCCACACCAGGTGAGTTAGGAGGGGAGTCGGGGGTGAAGCAGTCAGGGGAGGAGAAGGGTTGGGTTCCCACCTGGAGAAAGACAGGAGACCCACAGAAGGCACTTCCCCACAGGATGAAAAGTACTGGACAAGACGCAAGAAGAACAATGTGGCAGCCAAACGGTCGCGGGACGCACGGCGCCTGAAGGAGAACCAGATCACCATCCGGGCGGCCTTCCTGGAGAAGGAGAACACGGCCCTGCGGACGGAGGTGGCCGAGCTGCGCAAGGAGGTGGGCAAGTGCAAGACCATCGTGTCCAAGTATGAGACCAAGTACGGGCCCTTGTAACCCGTGTCCCCCTACCCAGGCAGGGCACTGCCTGCACCTCAGATCTCTGCCTGGGGGCACCCTGAAACCTGCACACGTGTGGAGACATATGACTCCAGGAGCAGTCACGTCAAAGCTTCATTGTAACACGGCCAGACCCTGTGAGGACTCCCCCGGGGCCAGCCTCCTCACTGGGGGGAGTGTGAGAGAATGCCTAGATGGGTGAGCCGGCCTTAGTTTCTGTTCTTGGACAGCCAGCTGAACCAGAAGGGGACCCCTGGAGTACCAGCCTCTCCTTTCACAGAGCACACGGGTTCTCCTTGACTCTCCCTTGGCCTCTGGCTGGGGCTGCCTCCACAGAACGAGGCCTGACCATGACTGTCGCCCTCACATCTTCTCAGGTAGCAGGGCGCATTTCCGGGAGGGGTCTGTCATTGACCTCACCCTCCCCAGAACGGCTTTGAGAGAGATGTGGCTCTCACTCCTCAGTGAGTGTGCATCGGTGGCAGGCCCAGGAGTGGGCTTCTGTGCTGCGTGGATGGCGTTTGAGTCGGGCCTGTAGCAGAAGGGCACCCCACCGTTCCCTGTGCCCGCACCCTTTTCTCCTGTAGGTAGCTCTGAGGTCTGGCAGCCAGGGAGAAGGCCCAGGCATTCAGCGCTCTCTGCATGTCACCTGCTGTGGAGCAGAGCCTCCAAGGAACACTGGTCTCTGTGCTCTGACTACCAGGGCACGGGAGGCCTGTCATCCCCAGGTCCCTCATGGAGGCCGCCTGGTTTCCTTGTTTGTCCCATACTCTGGGCCTGGGAGCCAGCTGTTTCTTTTATCACCCAGTAATCAGTCCCAAGTCTTGGATTTAAAAGGAATTCCTTCTCCCCCATTTGGAAGTTTTGGCACCTGGACCCCAGGGTGCATCTTCCGTGTGGTGTTGAAAAGTCTGGCCTCCACAGCTCCCCTTACGCAGTGGGCACGAGAGCCGGGGCGTGATTGCTGTAAAGCGCCCATTTTTTCTCGCTCTGTCCACTGGTGTGGCCAGGCCAGGGTTTGCTCCCCTGAGGCAGCAGGGGGGCCCAGCGCTTCAGGAACTGTCTTCCTGTGAGCCACCGACAGGGCTCAGCTGGTGGCCCGGTCGGGTTGTCAGGGTTTCAGGGCAGTCTTATGGCATAATAGGCTCTGGGGTTGTTTACCCGGGCCTAGGGTCCCTTCAGTCTTGGTCCCAGGAGACGCAGGACCCCCACACGAGTCTGGCTGTGGCATGGAGGGAGGGCCTCTCAAGTGCAGCCGCGGCTTCTCTGTGCGGCCGCTTCTTTCTCTCATGTGGCTGGACTCGGCCTTCGGCTCTGCCGGGAAGATTAACTGAGGAAATTCTGCCCTCGTTGGTCAGTTGGGGCATCCTCGAGATGGGGGGCCGTATTTGCTCAGGGCAGGCAGCCTGTGGTGAAGAGGCGTCACGGGGGGTGGGTGCACTTGGTCATCTCACCACCGGCTTTATTTAAGGTGGCCGCTCAGAGGCCCGGGCCCCAACATCCGAGACTTGTCGTAAACACAGATGTTAAAGCCCAGGGGAAGATATCCCCTGGGCACGGACCGTACCCCAGGGAACACTGCGGCCCGCCAGGGGCCTGCACATGCACCTCTCTGGGGGACTTGGCAAGGGTCCCAGAGGCCAAGGGAGGCCACCCCCACCCTCCAGGCCCCTGACTGTGGTTCTAGCAAAACCATGTACGAACTTTTCACTCTGTTGTAACCACACACGGGGCAGTTGCATCCAGCATGTCGGCGTCCTGCCCAGGCGGCCCACCGGGCCCTTGCCCTCCGGCTGGGCCCTCACCGGGAGGGTGGCACTTGATTGTTCTCCTGGAAGAGCCTCACACTTTCCGGCTCTTCGTTTCCTTTGGCCAGAAAGCATACCGTTTGTGTTTTTCAGTTCTATTTTTTTAAAGAATGGACACATCCCTGCCCGGCCCTAGTGCTGACCCGGTGGGTGGGACGACGGCCTGACATCTCTCCCGTGTCCCACCTGCCTGTTCAGTGTCCCCCTCCCCCCGGGCAGTGGGTGTCTGGTTCCTGCCCAGGGTGCTTGTTTGGAAAGAGAACAGCCGTGGGCTGTCCCGGCAGAGCCCCTTCTGGTCAGGAGGCTGGCAGCGGCAGGAAGGAGATGTGTGTGGAGGCCGTCATTTTGGGGAGAAGTGGTCAGGTAAGCTTGCCTCCTCCCCCGGCCTAAGAGCCGCATCCTTGCGGGAGGACAGAGGTGGCGCCTGCTGGGTTTCCATGAAGGAAACGCACGTCTCCATCTTAGGACTAACAAGGCCTGTGGCCCCTGCACCCAGGCCTTTCCCAGAAGCATAAGTGGCTCAAGAAGCCACTTCCTGGTTTCAGGAAGGGCCATCCACTTCCCAAGTGTCCCGTCGTCAGCTTCAAGGCAACCTCAGAACAGACCAACCACGGGCGAGCTAGAATGTTGCCGGCATAACCACGTGGTAAATACATCTAACCTAGAAGTGTAGCTGTGTGTGTGGAGAGAGTTCTCCAGATGGACAGCGGCCTTGTGGAGGACCTGGGTAACTCTTGTCTGGAGGTCAAGGAAGAGGTTTGTCTGGGTCCTGAGGTTGGGGAAGGTGCTTGGCAGTGAGCTTTAGCTTTTGGTAAGCATCTCCCTGCCGAGAGTGGTCACCGTGGCCCGGGAGGGCAGCTCCTGCAGTCATGGGGCGAGGCGGAAGGCCTTTGTGTTGGACACTGTCCTGCCCCGGTTCCTGGGAGCTGGGCTCCATGTCACACACAGAGCCCAGGAGCCCTGGTCTCATTGCAAGCCTCACCCCCCAAGCTCCTTCAGCAGCTGTTCATTTAGTGCAATAAATTTTTCTAGAAAATGTCAAAGATGACTTCCAGGTGGCTATTGCTGTCTTACGGTTTGGGGATGCCGGAACACCACTTGGTTTTATTTTTCTAAGTGCATGTGACGTGTCGGCGCGTGTGGGGCTCTGCGTCCTCCCCTGGGAGCCGGCATTCCAGCGGTCCCCTCTCTCCTTTACCTTTGTTGGGGGGAGGCGGCGAGGGGAAGACCCCTCAGTCCCGGCTGGAGAGGGTGGACCCTGCAGCCGTCGGCCTTTTGTGTGAGTGTGTCGCTGCTGGTGGTTCTGAGTGGGGTGCTGGGAGGCAAGTCAGGAACGTGTCCTTTTCAAAACAAATTAAATATTTTGAGAAGAGAATCTGGAGCTGCGTGTTTTGTATGCACCCCCCTTCCCTGCTTCCGCTCCATGTGTGGGCCGCAGAGCGTGAGCACGGAGCCACCGGCAGCACTTGACCCCCCACTAGACCCCGCCCAGGCCCCCCTTTCCTCACCCTACCCTCGGCCAGGTCACCTGACTGCCTCGGGTTTCCTGCCCTGCGTGCCTCACAGTTTACTGGGAAGGACAAACAGTGTCAGACCAAAATGCAGCGGGAACTAGTCAGGAGACAGGCAACTGCTTAGGAAAAGGACCGGTCTGGGCACCCTTGATGGCAGCTGTGGAAACAGAAAGCCGGCTGAGTCCTGATTGTGGTTCTGGAAACTTCCTTTTCTCCGCTAAACAAACTTTCTGTCTGTGGTCCTAGGACTTCACACTCCAAAGGGTGACAGTGCTGTTGTCACTGATCGACTCAGCATTAGGGGCTGTGGGTCCCCTGCTCAGGGCTGGCCTGGGTTCCAGGGGCTTTCATGGGGGGAGGGGGTCCCTGCTGCAAGCCAGTGTTTTCACCCCTCCCTCCCCGTTCCCCTCAGTGTCAGGAGCTGCTGGGGGCTGCATCCTCACCTGGGGGGTGCTCCATCCTCACCTGTGGGGGGGGCTGCATCCTCACCTGGGGGGGGGCTCCATCCTCACCTGTCGGGGGGGCTGCATCCTCACCTGTGGGGGGGGCCCTGCATCCTCACCTGTGGGGGGGCTCCATCCTCACCTGCTGGGGGCTGCCCCCTCCCCCCACGCATGCTGTCAGTGCTCAGGGTCTTGTGAGCAGAGGGACCAGAAACTACTTGTAATTTAGTCTCTAAGGGAAAAAAGGCCCTTGGACTTCGGAGATACGGAGCTGATGAAGTGGATTTTTTTTTTCCCTTTGGGTGAAAGTTTACAGCACAAGTTCTCCATTTGAGGTAAATTTTTTAAAAAAAGCTATTTTACAAATGAAACATTGAGGCTCAGAAAAAAGGCAAAGCAATAATGTCCCATATCACAGCAGCCGTGGGAAATGTCAGCCTCAGGGTAGAATGACAGAGTCCAGAGCAGTCACTGGGCAGGCAGACGGCCCCCACTGTCGGATCAGGGCGAGGCCACGTACTCAGCGTGACCCCATGAGTCCTCCCCTCCTCACTCTCAACATCTGGGCGATGCCTACCCTCATGCCAGCTTCCATGTTAGGGGTACCCACTGTGTCCCAGGCCTGATCCTCACGGAAGGAAGAGGATGTTACACGTTGGGGGTGGGGGGGCAACGTTTAGAGATACCTCTGTCAGCTAAGTGCTTTGTGTCGGCCCTGCCTCCTGCCCACACACTCTGGTGGGAGAGACACAAAAACAGAACAAGGGATTGTGTAAATTGTGTTTCTGAGGAAACTGGGAGCTGACGGAGATACTAATTATAAGGGAGGCGGGGGTCAGGAAAGACCTTTCTGGGTGGCACAGAAGCTGAGACCAGAATGAACGGATGTGACCTGCCCCAAGGATCACACGCAAGTGGGATGCAGGGCCAAGACCCTTGCCATGCAGCTCCGTCCTGCAGACACACCCCCTCTGGCTGGCCAGAGGGCTGAGGACAAGGAAAGCCGTTAGGAGAGGTACCCATGGTGACCAGAACCGTGACACCTTCAGTCTCTTGTCCCTGAAGAATTTTTCAGTTGGGAAGAGGACTCTGAGAAGCCGGGTGAGGCAGATGTAACTTAAAACGTTTGGCCCCAGGGGTCAAACCTTTAGGCAAAGGCTTTACCCAGCACCCTGCCCCGCCCCTGCCGCCAGTCCCTGCAGTCTCTGGGGGCTGCTGCCCAGGTGTCTGAC